TTTTTTTTTTTTAAAAGAAACATTTTCCTTTACAGGATCAGTCACTGTCTGGTCTAACTGGTATTTTGGCCTGCAGTAGTTCCCAAGTTAAAAACCAGAGGTGTTTTTTTTTCTTTGACACCATGTTTTTACTATAGGGCAGGGGTGTCAAACTCCAGGACTCAAGGTCCAGTGTCCTGCAGGTTTTAGATATCACTCTGGGTCAACACACCTGAATCAAATGATTAGTTATTTACCAGGCCTCTGGAGAACTTCAAGATATGTTGAGGAGGTGATTTAGCCTGGAGTTTGAAACCTGTGCTATAGGGAGCTCACTCAGAGGTGGAAATATATACATTAATAAATGACTTAGTCATACTAGCTGTACTGTATACAGCTGTAATTTACAGAAGTTCTTAAATCAGCAGATATGCCTTTTCATATTTTGAATAGTTATTTTCATTATGTCATTATTATCACAATAAAAGTGTTTGGCTGACACAAGCCACCAGTCATTTTGCAACATTAGGAACTTGGGAATCAGGAAATGGTTTAGCATTTTTTTCTCAGAAGATACCCTTTTTTGTTGGAGTAGAGCTGCACACAAGATACCATTCAGATCATACACTACTTTATCCACACAGGACTCACACTCTACAGTTATAACTTAAAATGTGATGTGAATAAGACCTTTTTCTAACTGTTTTCCTGGTTGAGATTCAACAATCCAGAAAATCTGTCAATAAAAGAAAGAATAAAGAATAATAATATAATTTAAAAAAATCTGTCATCTGCATTGGTTTGCATCTTATTCCTTTCTATCCACTGTCAGTCTAAGTTCCTATACTGCAAGGAATGCACTTTAAATGTGTTATAACTAAATGTTTCTGGGTTTTTTAAAGAAAAAAAAATGTTGCTTTAAATCTATGCATTAAAATAACCACACATATGAAAAATAGAATAACACACAAATCAGCAGACACCTTTTTAATTGCTCAATAATTCCAAACAGGAGCATAGTGAACTAAATATTTTAAAGAACTACAGAAATAGTAGAATTTGTGTTTTTCTTTATTTCATTTGGTGTGTTTCAGAGTCCTCTGCTCATTGTTGGACCCTGAAGCTTGATCAGACTCTTTGTGGACGCATGTTGGACAGCAGTGTGGGGATGACATCTGGCTTGCGAGTATGAAAGTAGTAGATAGCAGCTCCTCCAACCATGACAGTCAAGCTCATTTTAACCAGTCGACGAGCAGTGGAGGGCTGTTCTGGTTCCAGCTATGGGGGGGGGTGATGATTTTTACTTCATGTTAAAATCATGCACAACAGTAACAAAGAAGACTGCAGAAGAAAAAGTGTAACATCAAACCTTTCTGGTTTTTAGAGGCTGGAACATGCGATCAAACTGGGTAAAGATTGCCCTGCGGGCTCCCTCCCATTTCCCTCGTCCCGTCAGCCGGTACTGGTAGGCGGTAACGGGCCCCCAGAGAACCCTCTTGAACAAGGGGTAGTCTGTGAAGAAGAGCCAGAGGAGGCTTGGCCTTACACCAATCTCTCCAGCTATTTCATCCATGTAGGAAACAAAGTCCACCTGCAGTGGGGTCAGCTTTGAAACAATGTAACTGTGGAGAGAATAATATAAAGAATAGTATTATTCTAAAGTGGCACTAACATGGTATAGAAGTATAAGATATAAGAGTATAGCGCAGAATAGATATGCTAGAATAAAGCATTCCTTGTTTATACTTAGGTTTAATATTATGATTGCTTCCAGAGTCTAAAAATTCCAATGCTAAGTGTTCTTGATCATTGCAATATTAAAAGTCTAAAATTAAACACCTTTTAATGGCTATAAAATGTGTAAGATTAAAATGTGGTATGACGCAGCTGCAACCTTTACAGTCTGAACTTTAAAAGGAAAAAAGGAAAAAGAATCACATGCTAGAATTGTCAGGGTATGCAAGCAGCTGGCTTCAAATTCAGATTTCTAACTGGATTTTTTAAAAATGGTGCCGTTTGCTTTTTAAATGCAATTATGTATGTGTACAGTTTGCTTACAAAGAAAAGGAATGTGAGTATTAATTTATTTACATGTTCAGACTAATGAGCATTTGTATGTTTAGGCATTATGACAATACACCTTTCTAACCTCTCTATAAGATAAGATAAGATAAGACTTTATTGATCCCACAACGGGGAAATTTTTGCGTCACTTCAGCTCAGGTACAGATATATGAAGGAAATACAAAAATACAATTAAGTACAATCAATGAAAAAAAGTAAGATAATACACTATATACAATGGTAGCATACACATTATGTGATTATGGATATAGTTGGAAATATGGAAGACATAAACTATATAGCTTGGAAGGTCATGGAAGGTCCATTATGCATGAAGTGGTGACCGTGGATGTTCACAGTGTCCAGTGACTTATGACATCGTGCATGCACCTTGCTAACCAATCTCACTATAGCTAGAGCATCTTCTGACATAAAACAGGAGAAAAGACAATGGTAAAAGACAGGTTGAAGTATTTAATAAGACAAATAGTTACCTTTTTTCAATATTTTTTGTATCTTTTTCAACAGCCTTGATCATGGACTGGCTTGACGGCAGTTTTTTATGTCCTAGATGACAAAAAGGGTAATTTGTAAATATAAATGAACTAATTTGTGCTTAGGCATGCTAACTGTTAGTAGTAACAGACTACCTTACCTTTGAAGACACGAGTGACCCAACGGGCCTGCATTTCAGCCTGAGGCATGATGGCTCCAAGGGCATGAATGAAACCCACGACAGCCAGAGTAGGATGCTCTAGGGTTGGGGGAAAAACATGCTTGTACAGACCCGCACGGTGCCCAGACTTGTACATGGCATTTTTTGGCAAGTAGGGGAAATCATAGTTGTACCCTGTGGCAAATACAATAGTGTCCACCTGTGACACCAAAGAAATATGGTATTAAACTAAGCCTTCACTGAACAAAGATCTTGGAGAAAGTTGAAGAAAACTCTTCTCTGACCTTTTCCACAGTACTTCCATCATCAAACACTACAGTGCATCCACAGATTTCCTTCACATTTGGTTTGATGATGACTGCCCCAGACAGAATCTTCATTGGTAAGTCATCATTGATTACTGGGATCTGACTGAAGAGCCTAGAGTAGAGTATTTTAATGAGAAGCAGAATCCCTCATCTGACAGCACAGCGTTATACACCAATCTGGCATAACATTACGACAACTGACAGGTGAAGTCAGTAACACCAGTTATCTCTTTATAAGGGAGCAAGTGAACATTTTGTCCTCAGATTCAATGTGTTAAAAATAGAGAATTGGCCAAGCATAGGGGATTGAGAGAGTTTGTGATGACCAGATGACTGGAGCAGAGCACCTCCAAAATTACAGCTCATGTGGGGTGTTCCCAGTCTGCAGGGATTAGTATTGTTAATGTTTTCTTTTGCATCACGTTGCTGGCTGGCTAAGTGTGCATCGCTTACCTTGAGGAACATCTGTAAACAGGATGGCGCTATAGGAACAAGGAGAGCTGCCGGAGGCAGCGTAATGCTGTAGGTACTGTTCTGAAGGGAAACCTTGGGTCCTGCCATCCATGGAGAAGTTACTTTGACATGTACCACCAACCTAAGCATTGTTGCAGTTTCCATTGTTTTCATGGAAACTGTGTTCCCTGATGCCTATTTCAGCAGGATAATGTGCCTTGCCACAAAGCAAAAATGGTCCAGCAATGATATGAGAAGCACAATGAGCATGAGGTGTTTGCTTGGCCTCCAAGTTCCCCAGATCTCAATCCTGTGGGATGTGTGGGACAAACAAATCTGATCTACAGAGATCCCACCTTGTAGTTTACAGGACTCAAATGATTTGTTGCTAACATCTTTGTGCCAGATAGCACTGCACACCTTCAGGGGTCTAGTGGAGTAAGCGCCTTAAAAGGTAAGGGCTGTTTTGGGAACAAAAGGGGGACCAACACAGTATTGGGCAGGTGGTCACAATGTCATGCCTGATTGGTGTATATTATAGGGAACTAACACACTGTGATTGATCTCATTACCTTGGCCTGAGTCAAAATCTATGTGGGCGTGACACCACCTACCTGTGTTTGGGTTTTAGGGCGTACATGGTGTGGTCATACATGGCATTGAGTTTCTTCTCACCAAACCAATTGAAGAAGTTGATTGGGAATAGCTGAAACAGGATATGAACAAAGCGTGTGTTGTACTTCATGTCAACTGGCACACCATTGTCGGAAACTTGCCGGATGATCCAAGCACCACGACGAGTGCTCATGTACACCTGGAGAATGGGAAAGACAGAATTCACCAAAACTCATGAAGGAGTTTTTTTTAATCTCTAATCAAAAGAAGATAAGAAGAACGAAAAAGCTTTCTTCAACCTGCTCTGCAACTCTGCTGGTTTCCACAGCAATGTCACCTCCAGAGTTTCCAATTCCGATTACCACCACTCTTTTTCCATACATGTCTTCAGGTCCTTTGTAGTCCCAGCTGTGGAGATATTTTCCTTCAAATGTCTCAATTCCTGCAACATAACAGAGGTGTCATATGAAAAGACTAACACACAAAGAGGTATAAAAACAAGACAGTTATTTTTTCAAGGGTTGATTTTTAAAAATCAGCCATATTTTAATCAAAGCCTTTTCAGGATAAATGCAAAACATGTTACCTGGGAAATCTTTGAGTGGGAGGTTAGGGTAGGTGTAGTGACCAGAGCAGCAGATCACTGCATCAAAGACATGCCTCTCCTCATGTCCATCTCTCTTTTCAGTCAACACCTCCCACCTGCCAGTGCGATAATAGTCCGGTGCTTTTCTCACACTTTTCACTAAGGTCTAAAAAATAACAATGTAGGCCGATTCAGGTTTTCAGATATCTGCCAAATGTCACCAAAACAGTTTTGAAGAATGTGCTTTTCTCTCATTCTACTCTTCTTTGTTTTTATTACCTGGAAGCGAATGTATTTTAGGAGTTTAAAGTGGTCTGCATACATTCGGAAGTAGTTCAGGATTTTAGAGTGATGCATGTAGTTGGGATAATCAGAGGGAATGGGGAAGTCACTGTAGCACATCATCTCCTTTGAGATATTGATTGTAAGTGACCGGTAGATACTAGCCCTGTTGGGCTCCGAAACTTCCTGCAGAGAGATAGTTTTAAAAGACAACAAAGAATTTTACTCAGTTTCACACGAACAGTTTGCTTGTCAACATGTTTGTCTTCTTAAATGTAGACTTGCCTTGAATTTCCACAGTCCGCCCATGTCGTCACTACTTTCAAAGCAGGTTGGCTCCATGCCTTCTTCCAGACAAGCCTTTATGCTGGTCAGACCAGAGGGGCCTGCCCCGATCACTGCTACTCTGTGCACCATGATGGACCTGCAACCAGATGTTGGAAAATGTACCTGTAATTTTGAACATTTGTGAAATTAGGTATGAAAATGTAAATTTGTAACCAAGGAAACCGTCAATTGCGCTATATTCAGGTGACAAGATCTTAATGTTAAAAAAGAAATACAAAAGAAAACATGCATAGAAAACTGTATTAATACTGAACAGTTTTCCTGTTTAAGAATGAAGCTTAAATTAGTTTCCAGCTCGTTTAAAATGCTCGAGAGATTTTTTACCAGAGCGAGATAAAACAGTCACGTGGCAATCCCTTTCCAATAATCCTCAGTTAGTTTACTTGATTTAAAGTAGTGACTGCAACAATTTAGAGCAATTGATGGTTTAACCATGTTTTACATGACTGAACTCTACAAATTCCTAATCCTGGCATCTGTCATAAAACATTCTTCTCAGAAACAGAAGAGCAAAGGTGACATCAAAGTTCTTTGAAAGACCTCAAGCATGCCAAATGTCCTTGGGCAAGATACTAACCCCATGTTTGCCTACTTGTGGTGGTCAGAGGGCCCGGTGGCGCCAGTGTCTGGCAGCCTCGCCTCTGTCAGTGCGCCCCAGGGCAGCTGTGGCTACAACGTAGCTTGCCATTGCCAGTGTGTGAAGTCCTTAGGGACTGAGTCCTTAGGGACTGAGTAAAGCGCTATACAAATGCAGGCCATTTACCATTTTGTCATTATATCATTGGAGCATGGTTATCATAACAATATCATAACAATGCAAAATTATGTTAATAAATGAAAAGAAATACACCATCTTATATTCAAGTAATCACAAGCTATTTTAAACCCTTTGTACCCCATGACACACTTAGAAATATTGCTGATTTAAAAATCCCGACACACATATGGAAGCTTTATATTGCAGAAAGTGTCTATTTTTGCTTACCTTGATCTTCCTGTGGTGATTTGGTGTGCCTCAAGTGGGGCAAGCATCACCTGAGCACAGACTTTTATACAGAGAGGGTAACTATACACACTCTTTTTTTCTTTCTCTCAGTCCTGTCCAAAAAAGGAAGCTACCAAGCTGAACCATGTTTACCAAAATCAAAATGGGTTTGACTTTGACTAAAGTTCAATTCGTGTTATTTTAAGTAGGAAGAGGAGTGCAAATGAGTGACAATAGTGAGCAATGGGAAGAAGGAGCAATAATGATACGCACAGAACTCTATTAATGAATCCATCTATTACACATGACGCAAAACAGTTTTAGATTGGTTCCCCATTTAATTACAAATTCTTACAATCAAATTACGGGATAATTTTCAACAGCAAATTCAAATCCACGGACTATAATACAGCATAACCACACACACAGACGTATACATAAATGTACATTATAAGATCTATACAAGTGATGTACAGTGAAGTTCATAGTATTTAGCAGGCAATGAGTGCAGTAAAATGTATAGAAGCTTCATGTTTGAAAAATGTATAGAATAAGAAATACATTTTGTTCATAAAGTTTCTCAACTGTTACAGTACAGGTTATGAGAAATGTGCAAAATCTTTCAGTACACAACATACACAACTAATTTTTCAAACATTTTTAGTCTTAAAAAAAGAAAAGAATCAATCATAAAAATTATTTGGTCACAAAAATTACCATCCAGCATATTTAGATTTACAACCAAAGTGTAATGAAGTGAAAATCTTCAAAGCTGAAACCTTTCTCACTGGCACTGGGAAGATCATTGGTTAGTTATTGCAGAGACAGCACAGATTGCACAAGGTCAATAAAATATCTGAGTGGGAACAGTCTGCTGAGTTCATACAGGTATCTGGATCTGGCTTAGACCAACTAGCACAAACCGGTGGGAAAAAAAAAGACCCCAGAGACGGACACGAAACTTTCTTTTTGTCAAATACACGTAATACAGGACAAAAAAACTGATGTAACTTCTTGTCTCTGGCAGTACTGAGGTGTGTGTTTGAAGTGAGCAAGCTGTTGTGCAACTGACTCAAGTATTTGCTCCCTCCTGACAGAGTGGTTTAGCCATACACTTCAAACACGGCATTAAAACTCATTCACAGATTCAAAAACATATTCATAATGTTTCTTTGCTTTTCTTTGTAGTACTAGCACAACTATTTTTTCCTTTCTTGAATTATAAACCAATCAAAAAGGATTTAAAATTCCCATTCAACTTACTAAGCTTAGTTTTATAATGATGGACTGATGGTGATTAGCTGATACTGCTATTTGAAGTATTGATTCGACTGGCAGCTAATGTTCATATCCCTTCATTTTCTCTGTTGTACTGGGAAAGAAAAAAATATTTATCATTAAAAAAACTATTTGAAAATGTACTTTCACCTTCTAATCCCACATCTTTAAACAGTAAGTGAGTGCAAAATGAATGCACCGATTACAGATTAAATATTAGCCACTGCCATCATCTATGGAGCCAATGTGCATCCCTAGTAGAAGCAAAATTTCCTAAATAACACTGCAATTTTACCAGGAAGAAGAAGAAGAAGAAATAAACATTCACTCAGATTTGGCACACAAGTGGAGCAGCTTCAAGGACACAAAAAGGTTAACTACGTCTCTTCTCACGCCCTCCACGTTCTAATGGGAAGGGTCAATAGCCTCTGTGACAATGCCAACGTCAAACACACATTTCAGTTACAACATCTTAACTACTTGCGTCATTTAAAATTTTATTGTTAATGTTGGACCTCACTTGGGCATTTAATCAACTACTGATAGTGGCATTGCACCAAAATGGATTAAACATCAAAATAAATCTGGGAAATACAGCAATATGTGAACTGAAAAACTTCGCGTACAGGTTCAGTCATTGGGTCAGTGTGGATAATTATTAACCCAGTGATACCTAACCCAGTGAAACATGACTGTTTCTTGTGTTTTGACTAAAAATTGAAATTCACATCGGGTTCAGTAGGTCAAAGAGCCAGGTCATCAAATATATAATCTACGAACATTATATCACTCATTATTGTAGTTGAAAAAGAGACATTATTCAGTCCTTTTGGCGATGGCGATTTCCACAAATGCACATTCCACATTTATTGATGCATCTTAGTACATGTACAATGCAGAAACAAAACCATATACCTCATGTCCATTCATCCATGAACCCCTTGCAGCACACACCATATCATAACATAATAAATGAAATAGTAAACCTAAACATGGCATCACCTAAATGTGATACCAACAAAATAACTGCTTGCTGCTTTGGCACAAGTGGCAAATAAATTGTGTAATTTAAAAGAAATCAGCTTATTAGTTTTCTATTTACTTATCTAGATTATTGCCCTCATTTTTTTAAACATTGGTGGAGCATTAAAAAGAAGTAAAAAAGTAAAACTCTAGTATTGTTAGGAATTATTTCACAGTGTAGGAATTAGGACAAATTTTCAATAAGAAAATTTTAGGCAATATTTTCTTGGACTGAAATTTTTAATTTTCAGACAGAGCAATCAGGTATGGACTTGAGGAAATTATTTCATTCCAGGTGTTTACCCATGCATTCCATGCATTTGGGGGGGGGGGTTTCAAGATCTCTGTCTAAATAAATAAATAAATGTGGGTAAATTCCCAGATGATTAAACATCCAACTATTTTGTAGATAATAACTGAAATGAGTAAAGAAAATAAACAGTCTATGTATGCAAGATAATTCATAATTTTATTGGGTGGGTTATATTGGTTGGGTCTGATTATTGGGTGGGGGGGGTGGGGGTCATAACACCCCTAACCCCCCTGGAAATTACGCCCCTGCAGCTATCTTCTAATTTGCTTCCAAATTTATCACAAAAGTCAGGAAATTTGTGTTTGCTCAGTTATTTCTTTGTTGTAACACTCTATATTTCATACCGTTGGAAATCCTGTTTATTTCCCCTTAAATGCTGCCATATTTGTAAGAAAAATGCTTTTGTGGTTTGAGCAGAAGTATTGAGTACGTTGTTTGCCCCCATGAAAACCTTGCCAAATCTCCTCTGGCAATGCAAAACAACTTAGTCTGCTCTTTACTCTTGTTTGTGTCGTTTATTGGGTTGAATTATTGAGGTTTGAAGACACAAGACATGTTGGCAATTTAGCAGTTTGTAAATTAACAATCGGGCTTCAGTAGCATGCGGACGAACCATACGCAGCCACAATAACCTGGCATCTCCTGCTCATGCTGGTTACCAGGTTGGTCACACACTGCTATGGGATCGCATCCCATTCTTCAACCAGTATTTGTCACAAATCAGCCAGTCTGGTTGTGCTGGTAACTCTCGCACAAACAGCACGCACAAGTTGATCCCATATGTGTTCATTGGAAATCAACGAACACCATCTTCTCAACTTCCAAACTCTGGAAGGACCCCGTTCAATGTTCAAAAGTAGTGAGTCCATACTTTAATAGGCGATCTGACTGCTGTGGACAGAATCTGGACGCATTACTGAATGTTCCTCCACACTTTCAGGTTTCAGTGCACATGTTACTCACACCAACAATGCAAATGGGCCTTACTGTGAAGGGCAGTCATGATATTGTCCAGCATTTTGTCCTCTGTAGAAGACAGCCTGCAGTTTCGAGGTTCTGACAGGGTGAGGAAACGGTTTTCATGTGGTGTTGTCTTCTTGTGACATGCGCTTCATGGCCTACTTCTGACTTCATCCGTTATATGGAACTTGATCTTTAATTTGGAGAAGGTATTAGAGCTCACTCCAAATAATGCTGCAATTTTATTTTGGACAACATCCCCTTGAAGTTGCTCTTGAAGTTGGCAAGAGCCCTATCCAGATCAGTCAAACGTAGCATGTTTGGAGCACTAACTGGCAGGGTCACTGGTGCTGCTAGTCAGAAGCTCAAAAACAAAGAATCAATAGCAGAATAAGCTGTTTGGCATTGGCAGAGAAGATTTGGCAAGTTTCTCATAGGTGCAACGCAAATACTCAACTCTGCTGCACAACCCACAAATGCATTTCCCTTACAAATGTGGCACCATTTAGGGGGAAACAACAGGCTCTCCAGCAGTATAAGATTTATCGCCCAGAAGCATTGCTACAACAAAGAAATAATCAACCAAACTTTTACTTTTTGTGCAAAGTTCTAATGCAGCAAAGGGCTTAAAAGAAAACCAGAAAACAAGACTGAAAAATTGGTTAATAATGAAACTACAGATCATTATTTTTTTCCCCTTCATATACGATTATGTATTTAATGTCCAAGAGCATTTAAATGTGAATGAAAAAAAACTAACCATGCAATATTTACAATCTTTTAAATATATTTAAAACAGCACACCTGTGAGTCATTCAAGTGAATCAAGTTACTTTTTTTCATTAGTTTTTCAGTAAATTTCACAATGAAAACGTCTATATACAGTATATACTCCTGTAGTACTTAAGACCCAAGTGTGTGCATTATACATTCCTGCCTAATAAAGACAAATGTGCAGTGTCTTATTCCATTTAAGTGAAGACAACTCTTAAGCCAATTGATTTTTGGGTGAATTGTCTCTTTAAGCAAATACACTGTACAATTCTGATATGCCAACTATACTGCGTTTGCAAATTTCTGCAAGTGATATATGTAGACGACCTGATAACATTACGGTTAAGTGTATGTAATCCTTCAGAGCTGATAAGTTATCAGTTACATGTACAGTTTTGGTTGACTATTAATGAAAGAGAGATAGTGTTAAAGTGAAACAGACAAATATATGGGGTGCAATTAATCTTTATGAGGGTTTGGATGTGCCTCCTTAAAAGAATGTTATGTCTTCTTATCTGATCAGTAGTCACGTAAAGAAGAAAAAAGGCCCTCTGTGCTCTGTGAACAAAGCTTTGAGGACATGTTAGGGCTTATATCATGATTAGCTCCAAGAAAGGCTAGAGGGGGGCAGGTGAAGACAGGTAAGCAAGTTTGCTATATGTGCAGTTTTCATTTGATGTCAGCAAGTAAATGTGAATTGTGAAAAAAAACAAACTATTCACAGAGTAGTTATACAATCTTTCATTAAAAAACAAAAACAAAAACCCAGCATGTCTGATTCATAAATTATAAAACAAGTTACATTCTGGATATTTTTAATTCAGTTTTTCCCATTATGTTTAATAAATACTACTATTTAATACGTTTTTGCCATGGTTTCCAGATTGAACAACTTATTTCACTGTAAACTTTCAGACAGTGTTTAAAGCTGTGCAGCAACTCTAAAGTACACTTCTTTTGATGCACGCGAATAAGCTGCCACTGGTGGAATGTTGTGGTAGCATAACATTGTGTTCAACACATCTGTTTCACTTTTAAAAACTTTTTGCTAGATTTTGTAAAGACTGAACTGAGCTTGCTTATAAAGTTTGTGGATGTGTAAAGTAAGTAAGAGCCCATTAAACTGTGTTGTGAATGTAAAATTGAGTTTAGACTTTATATTGTATCCTTGAATCAAGCTACAGAAGTGTCATAAGTGAGTTAGAGAACTTCAAGGTAAATGGTCAAACCTGTTCTCCTGTAATCTGTTGGGATTAACCTGCTACTTGTTATAGACGAGCTAGCAGCTACCTCAGAAAGAGGGCTAGTAGTGGACTTAGTTGTCACACAACATGAAAAACTCTTCGTTTTTTTTTTGGGTTTTTTTGATAAAGATCTACTCTCTAGTGTCAGCATAATCTCCAATACAACACTTATGGGATGTAAAAAGTATTCTTAATATTTATTTGAATGTATAAAAACATTTATTTTATAACAAAACAATTTTTGTTTTAACACAACTTTCTGCTCCACAACATTATTCATATTTCTCTTCAGCAAATATCGTTTTGTTACAAAGTAAATGTATTTTTAAAATGATCCCAACCTTAGAAATAGTGCTGCTTTCAATTCAGTGAGAATATATTACTATAAGGGAAAAAGGTGTGTACGTGCTGCTTTACTCAAATATAAACTACCATTTCCTTAAGTCCTTAAGCTGACTGTCCCAGCAGCCCTTGCAGTGTTTGAGGGGACAGCCACAGCATTTCCACAAGGTTGTACTGGCAATAGCCCATCCAGAACCCAAACATCACATCAGTCACATTGTGCCTGCCCAGCATCACTCGACTCAACCCTACCAGGCCCACCCACAGCAGAACGAGGACTCTCAACGGGGCAGCCAGCACGAGGTGAGCCAGCAGGAAGCGGCCACACATGGCGGCACGCGTGGCATGTCCGGAGGGGAAGGAGTAGCGGTCCACAGAAAAGGTGGCGAACATGTCCATACGATTATGTGCTGGCCGACGCCGACGCACCACCGCCTTAACAATGCCAACCAAGATCAGGTCCAGCAGCAGGCCTGCAGGGGAAGAAGATGGAGATATGCTACAATGCATGAAACAACAACAACACAACCACATTAAAACAAACAAACAAATGTGAATGAAGCATGTTGTATGAAGTGTTTACAGTGATCAAGTAGAGTAGAAAAGCACCAGGTAAGAACCAGACCATTGACTATTTAGTCCATTTCAGTGCCAGCAAATCCTCCAGGATCTTGAAGATTAAGCAGATGAATTAAACTTTGTGTTAACCTTTATTTTTTCCTATTAAAAGTGAAAAATTAACTTGACTTGCAGATTTTTAGACTTGTAGAAGGCCTACAATAATCTGCAATCTGGTAAAGATTGTTGTTGTTTGAACCAGGGTTTTCTTATTGAAAAAAATAAATAAAAATTAACAAAACGCAAAACCTAACTGTTATTTGCACCACAATGATATCACAAAGAATTTCACAGTATGATGAAAGGGAAAGATACAACAGCAGCATTGATTACAGGAATGACTGCAGTTTTTAAGTCGTGTTTCTGCATTGAGAGAATGAAAAGCTTTTGGTCTCCTGGGCTGCAGCACTGAAAAATTAATGCAACACTCAGGTGGCATGAAGCCAATTCGCTTCTATGAATCTAATGAAAGGGCTTCGGCAAAATGAAAACAGAAATGCACATTGCATCCATCATTACTGACAACTACTATGTGGTTACATTATTATCTGCTGCTTTTAAGACCTGAGGTTAATAACCATAGAGAGAAAAGGGTTTAGACGGTTTGCATTATCACACAGCAGCTTGCTGCTTCCCTTTTAAGCTGTTCTTTTGAAGTAAGTGCACTACTTAGCCCCCACATCAGAGTGCTGTGTAAGAGAGAGTCTTGTTCCAAACATGTTTTGATGAAGAGCTGGGATTTTACCAAAACCAATGCTTACTTGCTCTAAACTACTTAAGGTAATACTTCTTAAAGCCTTGTGTTTATTTAATGCTGATATGAACCACAGTAGTTGGTGCTTACTCACTAACATTATGCATTTGGGAGGGTTGGCAAGTAAATATTAAATGATTACTGAAAGACTATGGGGACATATTGAACTTTTTATTCAATACCCTTGGGGCACATCTCTCTATTGTGGTAGATGAGATTTAACTAGGGAAGCCCTTATTCAATAGTCTGTTATTTAATGCCCCTTAACATAAAGTTTCTGCCTGATCCAGCTTAAACGGCAGCTTAATTCAGTTTCTGACTTCTCCTTAATATCTGAAAGTGGAAAGCGGGTCATAAAATAGAGAAAATGTCCATCACACTTTGTCATAGGTCAATTTCATATGAAACTATTACTCATATTTTTAGCTTAGAAGCCCATTAAACATTCTGAAATTCTGCATGTTTGTTTTCCTATGATATTACCGAGGTAATACTGCCACCGTACAGCAATAAATGTATAATGTAAAACCACAATAAATAAGTACATGCAATCACAAATGACACTGTGGGCTTTACGGATACCAACTGCTTAATCCAATTATGACTCTGAACACATAACCAAGCACTGTGCAACCTCGGTAATTAAAGAACTGTTTATAACTCGGTCTAGAATTCAAATATAGGTCTTTGGCATTTCTGGTTTCACTGCAGAATACTCAGGTCTTGACCCTGCTCTTCTGAAAACATCACTATCACATGTATTTCCTTGCTGTGGCTTCACACAGCATCACATGGACACTCCCTGGAGGCAAAGAAGCCCCAGACCACTTTGGCACTTCAGTCAACATTTTACATAGCTATCCAGTTTTCCAGATTAAGACCTATTTCACATAATCTTATGCTTTTACCAGTTTTCCAAGCTGTGAAGGAACATCACAAAAGGTGTAACAGGTGACATCTACAGGTGAGAGCCAGCCAATACCAATTACACAAAGATAACCCTATATACTCATTATCTGACGCGTTAAGAGAGGTGGGATCAGCTCTTCTGTTGCTTAAGTGAAGAAATTATGAAAGAAGAACTGTGCAGGACAAATCAGGACCGGGAAGGAGCAAGGAGCTGTGACACCAAACCCAGCTCAGTGGCGCACTGATATGTATTGAGAGGGGTTTATCTGTGATTACATACGATGCTGGAAGAAGAAGCAACATGAAAGAACACAAAAAGCAGAGTTTTACCCATGAAAAGGTTGAGCATGACTTCTTGTCCTGCAGCACTGTCGCTCTTGTACAGACAGTAGGCGGTACCAGCCAGCCACGGGATACCATGTCCCGATATCTCTAAGAGCTTCATTAAGGGGCGCACACTGCCCCAGGATGAGTCCTCACAGGCACACACTCCCAGCTGCTTGGACAGCCACAGGTCGATGGCCAGCAGGGAGCTGAGCGCTACGCGAATGAGGGAGGGGTTGAGCCGGATACCATCCTCTTCAGGTGGCCCCTGGCCGCTCGCGGAGCCCGTGGAGGAGCCGGAGCCCCGGCGCCGAGTGGGGCTTTCAGAGGCTCGAAGGCGGGCCGTGGTCGGGTCGGAGCCCTGGCGCTGGAGCAGGTGTGGCGGTGAAGACCGGTTTAGCGGCTTTGTCAGAGACATGAACTCGTAGCGACCGTTGGAGCTCCCGAGCACCGGGCTTCCTCCGCTGCGACCGGGGTTTTTCGCTTTAGGAGAGGGCATGGTGTCCGTTAACTCACCGGCGTAGACAGGTATGTGTAGTGTAGATGCACAGCAGCTGTAAATTTTCTGCAGTGCTGTCCCGGTTGTCGCTTCTTTAGCTCATCTGTTGTACGTTTCACAATTCTTATCACGTCCAGGAAAAGATGAGCCGTGACGCCATATTTGTTGTTCTTCTCGCAAAGTATCCTGGGAAGCTGTGTTTTCGAAACTATTTTATTCCCTTAGCGAAGTTATCGCGACTAAAATTGTGTAGAAATTGTGTATTTTCAAAATAAATAAACAAATAATTGAATAAATACATGTATAAAATTGAGTAGTTTTAAGTTTGCATGTATTTGATTTCTATAAAACTGAGTTAGTACGGTTTAATATTTGCAATCTTTTTTATCTTTTGTTTTTAAGTCTATTTATTTTTTAGAGAACGTTCGTTTAATTCATTTTCTATAAAACTGATTTTTTTATAGCAAACTGACAAGGCCTAAAATTTATGACGAGTTCTCCATATTTTAATGAATTAATTTATTAATTTTGGTCTTCGTTTTTACATTAGCAATATATCTTTCTTACACTTTGCACATTATTTTTTGAAAAGTTTTAAATTATTTTTTTTCTAATACGTTTGCGTCGTTATTCTCTGTTTGTCCAAACCCACGTGTTTTAGGACTCTTCTCTGGTTGGTCGGTGAGCTACGCTGGACCGAATGGATCCGCCTCTATCCGGATCCATTGACATATTGCGCAGTGGGGTCAGCATTTTGCTCCTGTCCTTTATCTCTGGTGTTTGAGCTGAACAGGAGAGTCGAGCATGCCTGGACTTCTGTTGGGAGACGAATTCCCAAATTTCGAGGCCGACACCAGCATCGGCAGGATCAAGTTTCACGACTTCCTGGGCAACTCGTGAGTGTCATCTTGCAGCATACAGACGTCGCACTGTAACTTGTTTTAAGTGGGTTTTGGTAGTAATGCTGCAACAGTGCAGCTTATTGCGTGCTCAGTCAGTTACCATCCCTTCGCGATTCCTCTCGATTAAAAGCTTTAGCAGATTTTTCCCAGATCTTACTCGCCAGTTATGGCGGCTGACATAGACGGCGTTACACAAGCGTGACCTGTTGGTTTAGAGACACTTGAAAACTTAGTTAACAGTCTTAACTACACGCTGTTAACAGGTAAACTGTTAGACAATAAAATCGACTACAAGAAGCAGTTCATTAGATACTGGAGGTGTAAACTGTGAAACGGTTGTGTGCGTGGCTGTTTGTTTTCCCTCTAGTCTGTTCTCCACTGAGGTTTAATTGCACTCCTTGTTGTGTGCCTATTGTTGAACTTGGCAGTGCACACATCCTTCAAACATCCAACAATAATAGGCTCGATTGGTTAAAAGAGCAGAGAAAAAAAGAGCACTGTGTGCATGTATAATATTTAACACACCCCCGCACACAGCTCGAGGTGAAATGTGGAAATGCACATTTTGCTGTGAGGTGTCCCAATAACATGATGCAACGTCCTTTGGGTATTTTTTCCCCCACTCTTCTCTCCTCCCCATAAAAAACGATGTGCTTTAAACAGGAACACTTTTCAACACTACTTAAATATCTGGGGTGTTTTTCTTTCCTTCGGAAAAACTGAAACATGTAGTTGTTAGCTGATTTGTAAATACCCAAGAAAATAATTTGCAATGATTTATGGCAAACCATTCAAAATTCAGGCTTCTCCTATATGCAGTTTTATATCCCTACAAATCAAACGCCTTGCAGTTTTTGCCAGAGAAAGCAGAATATTTGGGGGAAAAAAAGAATGAAAACAGTCATTCTGCTATCCTAAAGTTTTGGCACACATTGCGTTATCAAAAGTATAACTGGATCAGATAATTCCAGCTTTCATCAACATGAGAACACCACCCAGTTTTGGTGACTGCATAATAACTTCCTTATTTTTCCCTCCTCGGAAATGTTGGACTGTGTGAGGCAGCCATCTGTTCAAACCGTTTCAAGCTTTTCCTTGTGCCTTTTCCCCCTCATTTGGATTTTTTTTTTTTTTTCCCTACCAGTTCAAATTCTAATCCCAAGAGGTGAACAAACTTTGTTCAGCTTCATTTGAAGCCTGGTAGTCGTAGGATATTTAGCCAAAAACATCAAAAAAGCAAACAAAAAAACCCAAACTAGTTTAGTCACCCAATAATCATGCTTCTAAACCATGTGATGAGGGGTCACAACAGACTGAAGGGCAAATCCATCCAAGTCATGGCAGACTCCAAACTCACATGATTCCAAAGCTACTTTAAAAAGACCAACAGGTAACTCCTTAGTGGATTTAAAGTCTTGTTCTCTCTGTCATACTCACAGATGCCTGTTGCTTTAGCCTGTGTTTGGAAATTACTCTCCTCCTTTTGTTCCCCTTTCTCTGCTATTTCATCCTCCTTTTTTTTTTCTTTTCTTTTTTTGTTTCGGCTCCTACTCTTTAATTATCTTTTTCTTTCAGAATATTTCTCAGTATCAGTTTGTAAAGCATGTTGGAAGCACAGGGTGGTGAAAGCATGAAAACTTGCTTATTGTTTTACAAGTCTCTTCAGCTTGTGGTTACCTTGAACTTGTGACTTGTTTTTTGTAACACACCCTGTCTATAAAGATTTGAATTGCACACGATGACTGTTATAAAGATGATCGAACACATCGGAACTTTTTATTTTAACATTTTATTTTTTACTTTTAATTGATGCTCCAAACAGAGGCCTTGTTGAGTTGGAACAACGTCTCTTTTCCCCTGCAGATGGGGTATCCTGTTCTCCCACCCGAGGGACTTCACTCCTGTATGCACCACTGAGCTCGCCCGTGCTGCCAAGATCAGCAATGAGTTCAAGAAACGAGGCGTAAAGATGATTGCCTTGTCCATTGACAGTGTTGCTGATCACAACAGCTGGAGCAAGGTTAGGAATGCACAAGCACAGACTGTATAAGAACTTTTTTTTCCCTTTAAGTTCTTCAGGACACCCTTGCTGAAAAGTACATATTATTGAGATATTGACCATTATCTTCAAACTCAACCTGGTATTATCAGGTTATATAATCTATCCTAAGCTTAATTTCTTCACATTTCCAGAGATAATAATTGTCTAATGTCCGTGGACTGGGAAGATCTGGTTCTGTCTGCTCCGTTGGGAGAAAAAAACCTGTTTATCTTAACTTTAGTGCTCCTACATGTCTGGTCTAAGAGTAATTAAGTAATTTAGCCTTCAAGTCCCAACTCGAGTTAAGTTTCCAGTAAGAAGCACATACAGTAGGTTAAGTGCTGCAAATAGTATATGGAAACATGCACCTCATCAGAAGCACTAAATGGTAGTTATTTTCAAAACCAGCAAGGGGTGTAATGAAATAGTTTTGCATGGCAAGAAAGAACGAATATGAAAGTAAATTTACAACCTTCAACTGGAACTAAAGTATGAAAATGATATTAAGTGTAAAATACACTGAGGAAGAAATAATGTTTATTATAATGATTACTTACTTAATTATTGTCTCTTTCTTGTTTTTCTTGTTTCTGTTGTAGTGTATATTATTATTATTGTTATCACACTTTTTTTAATGTGGACTTTACTACAGCTGTTATTTGTACATTACTTTGAGTGTAAGGAATCATAGCTGATCCTGGTCAAGCAAAAAGCACCAAACTTTTATAATAGTCTACAAAATGTTTCTGAGTGGATCAGAGCTGTGCTGCTTTTTCTTTTTCTTTAAATCTGTGAAATCTTCTACTTAAAATAATCTGGAGTATTAAGTATTTATAATAGAGTATAATACAGTAGAGCACTTTGGTCACCAGCCGTGGTTTTACCTTTTTACTTTATAAAAATACAGATTTAATTTTGACTTAAATATGTAATTCTACATATCATTTAAACTTTTTTTTTTACCAATGTAAACTATTTTTAATGTATTTTGTTTGTCAAAGAAAGTTAAACTATTATGGATTCTTTTTCTTCTTCTACTTCTACTTCTACCACGTTTATTCTTCAAATTAACAATGATGGTACTACAGGCGAATATACTTATGGCCTTTATAAAACATGCTGCTGTTCCTTATCCAGTAGTTAAAGATTACATGCCGAGGATCTGTGATCACTCATCAAACCTGTGCTGCAATAGTGGAGAGATGGCTGCCAGGAGGGACACAATTATTAACAGAGGATGAAATGTGAACTAACAACCATTTAAAAGCTGACTGTATCTCTTGTCTCTGAACAGGATGTGATGGCTGTTAGCAAAAACGCTGATACTGACCTGCCTTTCCCCATCATTGCTGATGACAAGAGGGAGCTGTCAGTCCTGATGGGTATGCTGGACCCAGATGAGAAAGACAAAGATGGCATGCCCCTCACGGCTCGCTGTGTGAGAAACCCATTCACTTTTTATTTTCTTCAATAAATAAAAGTAAAACAAAAAATAGCACTATAATTGTGAAAGAACAGACAACAATTAGATGCATATTTTTGCATATTTTTATTTTGCAATAAGATCTGCACTGACTTGCATGCTTGTGAAATGTTTTGGCTTTATACTTGCTGTTTTAATTACCCACCATACCTGGTAGTTAATACTTGAAAAAAGTATTGATTTTTACAGTTAAACAGAAATGTACACTTGCTGGCCACTCTGTTAGCCACACCTTGCTAGTCCCGGGCAATGTTCAGATTCAATAAGGTGCTGGAAACATTCCTCAGAGGTTTTTGGTCCGTGTTGACACGATCGCATTACACAGTTGCTGTAGATTTGTCAGCTGCACATTTATGACGCGACGCTCCCATTCCACCACATCCTGAAGGTGCTTCATTGGTTTGAGATCTGGTGACTGAGAGGGCCATTGGTGGATAGCAATGAGTCATTGGTGGATAGTGAACTCATTTTCATGTTCAAGAAACCAGTTTGAGATCATTTGAGCTTTGTGACATGACACAAATGTCAAAGTTGACCATACTATCCAAATCTCACTGCCGAAATTTAGATTTAT